TCTAATGATATTTTGACAAGGTAACTGCATAATAGACTCTTTCATTCTAGGACTGTTGGTTTTCAGTGAATTCCCGTTGACTCCATTGAAGGGAAGTGAGAATCCTTTCTTCCAATAAAATCCTAAATAGCTGAATTTTTATCAGGGAAACATACACTCTCTTTTGTTCTCTTTAACACAGGCTTTCACTTTGTCTTCCAAGCTGACCTCAAAAGGAGATCCCATGAGTCCTCAGAAGTGACTTACTCTTTAAGGAGCCCCATTATTGCTGTCTCTCCAACCTCCCAGACCTGGAGAGACATGTTCTTTACTACTTCTGGAAAAGCCAGGCATGCCAGTACAAGTGTATGGCCTTAAAAAGAAATTTAATGGCCTTTGTTACTCTAGGTACTAAAGCTAAAAGTTACATTCTTCAATTTCTGGCAGCCATCTCCTATATTATGCTACTGAAGATTAAACTGATTTTACTGAAATGTGGTTGTTCCTATGCAAAGGTCATTATTTATCAGCTTTTGTCTTGAGCTTTAAAATTCTATGCTTGTGAAAGATATGAAGGTTACAGAATATATTTCCTCTCCTTCAAACCCTCCTTCCTAATTTATAGGTGTTGGAAGAGATGGTCATTTCAACAGGATGACCTGTGGGTTTATTTTTCAACTACGAACAGTTCAGATTTTAGTATTTATCTGCTCTTTCTTTCCGTTTATCCCTAGGTTATGATGCATTGTGTATACATAAAGATCTAACCACAATTTTATATTTTTAAAAATATTTATTATATGAATTAAATAACAAATTTAAACATTTTTTAATCAAACAAAAGAATTGGCAATGAGATTAAGTTGTGACTATTTGGAATGTAAAAGGCATTATATGGGATAAAGTTCAACAGTAATTTGGAATCAGAGACTGGGGCCAAGTGAATAGGGGACTTGATACTTTAAAATAGTTTATGTGAAATACTTCACTTGAATATACTCAAGTATGTTGGCTATTACATAACTTTCATCTTTGAGTTTAGTTGAATTTAAAAATGATATAAATTATCATGTTAGCTAAATCTATTTACAGAGGATCCAGAGATGTGTATGTAAGATCTGATAGCATAAAACTTATAGGAGAAAACCTACCATACCATTGGTTTCAGGGATATCTTTGGATATCATTTCTATCAGCAAGAGAAACAGAAGCAAAATTGAACAAATGGAACTACATCAAACAGGAGTTTTTACACAGCTAAAAAAACTATCATTAGGGCCTCCCTGGTGGCGCAGCGGTTGAGTGCTGGGTTGCGAAGCTGCCCGCAACCTCTGCAGCTCTAGTTCGATTCCCGGCCACCCTGTGAGTGTCCCACATGGCACGCAGACCTCTCCTGCTGCCCGCTGCTCCCCTCAGCAGTGTGCTTCCTCAGTCTGCCTGCTTTGCTCTTCGCTCTGACTCTGGTGAATTCTCTCACCCTCCTGCACTTCTGACTGTACCTAGTGCTTGTATAAATAAATAAATAAATCTTAAGAAAAGTTTAAAAAGAAAAAAACTATCATTAAAATGATAAGACGCCCTACTGAATAGGAGAAAAAAACTGTGTCATATGTCTCACAAGAAGCTAATATTCAAAATCTACAAAGAAATCATACAACTCAACAACAACAAGAAAATAGTCAATAAAAAAGGGAAGTAGAGCTAAACAGATACTTCTCTAAAGAAGACATATATCTAACCAACAGGTATCGGAAAAGCTGTTCATCACTTAGAGGGAAATGCAAGTCAAAACCACATCCTCCCAGTGAGGATGGCCCAAATCAAAAAAATAGAAATAATAGTATTGGAAAAAAAGAAACTTTTACACTGTTGGTGGGAATGTAGAATTATCCAGTACCTTGGAAAACAGTATAGTGCTTTTACAAAATCTTGAAAATACATCTGCCAGATGATCCAGCAATTCCATGTACATCTGGATGGGTATGACCCTATACCTCTTAATCATATACAGTGTTGTGAACCAATATTACCTCAATAAAAAAGAAAAGAGAAAAATGAAAAGAGAAAAAAGGAGAAAGAAAAGTTTCTAGTCCGAGAAACTGTAGTCCTCAAAGGTATTGTTAATAGTCCACAAGTGCTCAAATTTGAGGCACATTTTGTAATTCCTTTCAGCATTGTATATTTATATTAAAATATTATATTGACTTACTTTAAATAGAGCAACAAGAAGACAATTGATAGCAAAGATAGCAAAAGAAGAACAAGTAGATTTTTCCTTATTAATTTTGATTGCTCAGATCCTATCAGCATTTCAAAAGGAGCAAACTGATTTAGAAGACTATAAGGCATGTGTAGCCTAAAAATAAAGCTACCATGTTTCTGAAAGAAAACTGACAACCTATGAGAAGTGCTTGCTCAAAATTCTAGCATAATTTTGGTAATCTGTAGTGTCCCTTGGAAATGTGGGAGAGGGAATGTCATGAACCGGGAGGAGAATAGAACCACAAAATAAAACATGCTTGTTATATGGTTGATACTGAAACAAAGAATGTTAAGTATTTCAAGAATAAACACAATTACTAAAGTCATTCAAGTATGCCTTGAAAATTATTGAATTATTCAAAGAAAAGGTTCTGAATGAATGGAAAGGATATAAAAGCATCTCCTAAAAGGCAGAATAACAGCGAATCAGGTTCAGAATGAACATCTTCTGAAGGAGGGAAAGATAGTTCAGATTTTTTGTTCTAATCAATTAGAATAACTCCAGGCAGAAGAAAATAGATGGTAAATAGAAAGCCTAATACCTAATGGGCTTCTGTCATGTGCTTCTTTGTTTTTAACCAGATTATAACTAAAATAATCTGCCCCCCAAAATGGTTCAAATCGCCTCCATTAACAAATAGTTCAAGTATCACAAATTTGTTAAGATTAATAAAAAAGGTAGTATTCAAATAGTCAAATGTGGTATTTCTTACTTTTAAAAGTCAATATAATTAGCTGGCAAAATATTCAATTACCATATTGATGTTACTTATCTGATCGAGTTATTTAATTAGGTCTGATCATTTGAGCAAAACATGATCATTAGGCTGTTACCAAAATAAATCATTAATATTTCATTAAATAATTATAACTAAAAATTCTAACTGAATAAACATTTTATTAGTAAAATGTCATATCCTACTATTCGTTTTTTTTTCTTTTTCATATATATTTTTATTTCTGGGCATGGAGTGAGGAAATGCACAAATTAACATCAGACCCTTGTTTTTAATTTTAAAGAGCTATATATATTTCTTTAAAGAGCTATGTATATTATTTCTTTTAAGATTAAAAAATACCCTTTATGGGTCCATATATTCTTTTCTGGTCAAACATAGCCAAAACACACACACACACACACACACACAAAATAAACTAGGAAAAACCCCAAAACTGTGCATCTCAGTTGGATCAACCCTTTCCTCTTTTCCAATAATGGGAAAATAACCAGCTGAACAACTCTGTAGAAAAAATGCAACTGACCTAGAGGTCAAAGACAAACAGCAGTGTACGCTATGTTTTATTATGACATTAACACAAATAAAAGAGAAATCAAACCTCCCTCCCTGCTTTCATGGTCCACCGGACTAAAAGCAACAGCTGGCGTCGCCTTCCTGAAGCCATTTATTATGAATACGATGGCCTAATGTTGCCACAGAGAGGACACTATTTCATAAGTGGACTTGAAGGTATTTGGAGAGAGGGGGGCCTGTTGTTTTTGTCCTGGACCTGCTAGCTGTGAAATCTACAGCATACCTTCTATCCTCCCTCAGCTGAGAGCTGTGTCTCAAACTTCACTGTTTATTTAGCAGCCTGTGGGTCACCTAAACTGCTAATTTTCTTAACTGTTTAAGTAAGCATATATTTTCATATTAAATACTTTTATTCTTGAAAAGGAAGCCATGTTATATCATAAATAAGTAATCATATTGTCTGTCATGAATGCCGTGAACACAGAATACTCGTAATACCATCAGAATACTCTTGCTTATCAATTCTCTGAGGCTGAAACCTTCTACCCACCTTATGAAAAGGGTTAGAACAAGTGTTTAATATTAAAGTCTCAACAAATAATATGTATTTTTTTATAAAGTTCGTATCTTTTGTTTCTTGCTTAATGATATTTCGAATCTCTAATGAAAGCAAGCTTTGAAAATACAATTTTTAGGAGATTAACTTAGTATTTTAAAATCAAATGCATAGAACTTTTACAAATACACCAGCATTCTATATTCACAGGGACTCTTCTCACCTCTGAGAAAAATGTAGAAAGTCATAATTTTATCTGTATTTTATTAAATAAGATGTATACCTGTCCCTCAGAGAATTTTACCAAATACTGATTTTACCAAATATTTAATACCAAAAATTAAAACATCAAAATGATGCCACATAATAGCAACTTATATTCAGATATAAAGACTAAAGTTTTTATAGCTTTTTATAAAAGCAAAGCTAACTCTTTTTATATGTTTATTTTTTGGACCTAGCTGTAATTTATTACTGAGTACAAAATCAATCAAAGTTAATCATTCTCCCTATTTTTACAATTTTAAAAACCTCTGAGATGGAAAATTATTTCCTCATTGGAACTTTAATCAATAACAGATGTTCTATTTAATAATTTATTCATTTATTCAGCAAATATTTAATATCCTCTTAAATGTCAGATACTTTAAGTATATAATGATTAATCAGTTTTGTCCACTGTTTCATTAGGGATCTTTTGGTTAAACTGAAAAAAATGCTCTTCCAGCCAGCTAAATAATAAAGTAAAAAAAGGAGTGTGGGAGAAGGATTATTAAAATTCAGAAAATGGCTTATAGAAAACTAAGAACAGGACCTGCATAGAGCATACTTACGGAAACCCAAAGACACCAGCCACTGGGAACCAGGCTTCTTTTTCTGGAGGTGGTTCCTTGGTTTTGCTCTGGACTTTGATTTAAAATTAAATAATGAGGCCGGCCAGCGGTGGCCGCACGGGGGACTGGCGGGGACGTGGGGCTGGTGGCCGCGGCCTCTGGTCTGGGATGAGCCGCGCTCTCGGTGGAGGCAGGAGAGCTGAGCCGGAGCCATGGCCGCTATGTTTTGCAAGCCATGAAGCATATGGAGCCTCAAGTAAAACAAGTTTTTCAAAGCCTACCAAAATCTGCTTTCAGTGGTGGCTATTACAGAGGTGGATTTGAACCAAAAATGACAAAACGGGAAGCAGCATTAATATTAGGTGTAAGCCCTACTGCCAATAAAGGAAAAATAAGAGATGCTCATCGACGAATTATGCTTTTAAATCATCCAGACAAGGGAGGATCTCCTTATATAGCAGCCAAAATCAATGAAGCTAAAGATTTACTAGAAGGTCAAGCCAAAAAATGAAGTAAATGTTACAATGAATTTTAAGTTCTTAGCTGTTTATGTATAAATACCAACTTTTTAATAAAATGCTTCAAAGCTATAAATCTTAAAAATGATTTAGCATAAACTAAAAGCCTTTGGATAAGATTTTTTTGTTTAAATTGAGCCCCATATGAGGGCTTTAGATCATTGTAAGTAATTGATGCAAATATAAATCAGGCTATTTGTAAATCATAAAATTTGGACATTAATACTCAGTTATGGATAAACAAATGCAATTTGAGTAACAATACTGTTCATTACTCATTAAATTTTGTACCTACTTGAAAAAAAAAAAAAATAAATAAAATTAAATAATGACACAGCAACTCCTTTTACTTCATAGAAAACCTTAATGTATAGCTTTGGCTTCTGCCCTTAATGTTACCTCAGCTATGCAGGTTTTTCAAACAGAAGTCTGATTATCTAGTTAACATTTTCAAATCAGGCCATTTAAGTGATAGGTCCAATCACTGAACAAACCGCAGGATAAAAGCAGTATAGCAATATCTGGGAGTGAGCCAGAAAGTGTGCTTTCTTTAAAAGCCTATGATCTGGAGCTTGGGGTGTACAGAGATATTATCTAAAGTTTTTTTTGTATATTCAGAGGTAGAACTTAATTTTGTTTACCAATTATTTTGAAATAGCATGTTGACTTAAAATAATAAATTTTCCCAAATAACCTTTCAAGTAAAATCTCTAGCAAGTTGTAGATGAAATTCTATTTCCTAAGATATTTCTCAACATTTTACGTTTTAAAACTTTCAAGCATTACCCAAGCTATTATTTCAGTTCTATGTAACTATCTTAATAATACACCAGCACTAATATTTTTGTTTTGGTTTTGCTCTGGTCAAAGCAGAGAGAAAAAATGTATTTTTTTCCTTGATAGAAGAAATCAAGCAGCAAACCGCTCCTTTTATATCTTGGAGAAATATTTGTAACAAAAATTATTCATCACTAGAAAATTTTGAAATATTCCATGTAGTTTATTTTTGAGGTTATTTCCTTTTCCCCCATTAATTCCTCTTTTATTGTTCCTGTCACCTTCTCTATTCAATAATAACATTTTTGGTATTTTTTTTATTTTTAAATATTTTTTCATTCCCAGTTGAAAATAAAGTTTATTTTATATAAATATAGTTTCAATGATCTAATGTATAACCGTTTTGTAGTTCTTATTTTATCTACATATCTTGTCTTTTAGCTTTATGTCAATACTTTATTTGGAAATTCAAGTAAAAATTTAATTTTCATTTTTTTTCTTCTGAAAAAGAAGACTAACAAAGACAACCGTACTTTCCAAGCACCATTTTTCAGGAAGTTAGTCTTCATGAGAAAGCAACTTCTTGAGAATTTGCTTTTCTACTGCAGATATGAAGAAACCAAGATAACAGCATTAAGCACAGAAAAATAGGGTCACTCTGGAAAAGGGCCAAGCAAGCCTCAGGAGTCTAACTCTCTGCTCTAGTGAGTAAGTCCATATTTCAATACAAAGAGAAGAAGGTGCAGGAAAGATATCTCCAGAGAGAAAAACAGGAAGAGATTTGTAAGCAAATGTGTTTGATCATATGGAAATAGAATTCAAAGGTGCTTTTTAGGTATCACTGAAGAGCTTGGGGCTAGTTTGTGCCAGGAACATAGAAAACCAAAAGAAAAGGGAAAAAGAAAAAATCAGATAATAAAGTCTCAGAAATATAAAAGTTGCAAGAGAAAAAATATCATCATATGCTGCTCAACTCAGTAATTCAGTAGTTGGTAATATTTATATATTTTAGATGATACAGTTTCTTAATAGGGTAAATACTTAATGGAGACCTAACAGAAGTTATGCCCTAATTTTGTAGGGATGATAAATAACTATGATGAAAGGAAGATAACTGTATTTAATTGTCTATAAGAATGTGTATACTTACCTTTCAAAAAGAAGTCAAGAGATAGCATTTAATTTTGAAAAATAAAAAGTAGTTCTATAATGAAACAACTTAGAAGCAGGGAAATACATTCTAGTGTTTTCTCATCCACGAATACTATATGCTTCCCTGTACTTTCAGCAGCTACCTAGCATGTGGGAGCAAGTGTTAGCACCCAAGATTTTCTAATTAACACAAGTTGCATTCTTTACCCTATTTATGCCCATCAGGATGAGCAGCTCGAGACTCCCCCTAACACACATGGCTCAGCTTGTCATCTACTCAGCATATTATCTTGCTCCAGTATTCTGTTATCTTATCCACACTCTCATTTTCACCTTCCTGAATCTTTCCACTATTTCTTCCAGTAATTACAACAGATATAGCAAATTCCCCTTTACCTTGGAGTCTACTCAGAAAGTTTCTTATTTTCATGTTCAAACTAAAACCTCTCTCTCATCAAGGGCGGATTCCTTCATGGTCCTTTCAGCCAATGTACACCTTATACCAAAGACCCTGAAACTAGAGGGGCTGTATCTCACATCTACTCCAGCAGCAAATTCAATTGGTTCCCATTTCAATATTACCCATATCCAATTATTTTTCATAATTTCTTTCACTACCAATAAGAGAGTAGTCACCATTAATACTTTTTGCAATAATCACCAATAAATTGCTATACCTTGCGGTGTGAAATTTACTTTTTTTTTTTTTTTTTTTTGTGGGACCCTCGCCGGTGGCCGGGGATCGAACTGGCGGGGATTGAACAGCCTCGCAACCCAGCGTTCAACCGCTGCACCACCAGGGGAGGCCCTACTATTGTTATTTTAAACATAATTTCTTATTTAGGCTTTATAAAGCAATACCAGTAGAACCAAATTTGTTTTTAATTAAGGAATTAAGCAGGATATTTACCAAATGTATTTAAATATGTCTTTTTCTTTTTACCATAGAGATAAGAATCCACACAAAAGTTGCTTGAAATCTTATATTACATTTGATATAAAAATTTTGGATAATGTACCTTATCTCCCTCAGAACTAACTCTTAATGAATATATCCAAGAGTTTAATTCTGAAACTTATAAAGGAAAATATTTTTAAAAATATGAAATAAGAAGAAAAATATAAGGTTCGATTAGTTTCATAGAACTTTCCTTTAATCTGGGTAACATTTGTTGAGTTCTAATTCTATGTCCTCACTATTACAGGCCCCCCAGAACTTTAACAATAAAAAATAATAAACTAAAATTGTATAGCAGAATGTATGATGTGCCCTAACAAAGTTATAAAAAAGTGCTAGGAGAGGGATAAATTTTGAAATGGTTAATGAGAAGGAAGGTTAAGAGCACAAAATAGTGACCAATAAAGCAACTGTAATTTTTTCTAGAAAATAAGTAACAAAAAACATAAATCATTCAACATACTCTGTTGAATGGGAAGCATTTTGTATATACAACTTCAACAGTCTTTGTAAATATATTGCTGCGAAATGAATCAGAAAGTGGGACATTAGAAAATGGTTTATAGATTTCTAGATGAATCTGACCAAGGATCAACATCAAGCAAATCATAATTTTGGCCATAAATGTCATAAGAACAAATATGCAACAATTAGATGCTTATTATTCAAGTTAAAGTTAGCAAAAGTTCTGCTCTAGTTACACAATTTACACTGTTCCCCACCCATACACTCAATATACACAAATATACACATGAAGATTTGGAAAATACACTTATCATGAACAAATATTAGTGCAGGATAAAGACTGTTCTATTGTAAATAATGAGGAAAAGATAGAACTGAATCTGAAATATCCCCCATGATGGGTAAAAAATAAAATGAATTGAAAGAATAAAACTTAAATTAACAGGAAGACTAGGTGTAAAACCCTGCCTCTGTACCTAAAATTTCTTTACAATATGGGGGAAATGAATTGTGCCTCCTTTGCAGTCTGATATGCCATGACCACAATATCATGTGTGAAAACAGCTATTAAATTGGTGTTTTCTGTAATCCCAAATAACTAATTTCAGTCACTACTCAATATGGTCAATGAGAAACATCACAGATTATCTATTTTAGCAACCTTAAGGTAGTGATTGTGCAGAGAACTTCCTATCAGAATCACGTACTTTGAGCTCAAATTCGTGTGCTCCTCGTTTTAAAGTTGCCCTGATATGAAAGGCCATGTTTATTTCATGGCTTAGAAAATTATATGTCACTTAATCTAACCCCCTCTCCTGGAAACCCAACAATAGTGCATCACTAAGCAGATATTTTTGCTGCTTCTCTGCAAGCTCTTCTACCGTAATGCCATATAAAGTTTAATAAAGAAAACATCAAAGGATATGATATGTAGTGTGCTAAGAAACCAAGAGTCACATAGCAGCTTCACAGTTTTCTAAGTCTTGTATTTAGAACTCCACTTCTCCAACATCAGTCTTTGAGGACAGGTGGGACAGGGGAAGACTCCCTTCAAGAGTCCAGCAACATTCTTAGAGGATGTGGATCTTAGAGGATGTTGAAGAGTACGCTTCTTCTGTGGTATGTGGATGGCACCGATAGTTTCAGACATATTAAGGTTTGTGTTTGTTTTGTTTTGTTTTCCTTTACATATTTATTTTGACAAGACTATTGAGTGTACACTAATAAATATAAATATATAAATGATCCAAAGTGGTTTGTTTGTTGTTTTGTTTGGGAATGGTTTGGCTTTCCTGTTTTGATTCCAATCAAATGCATGTGTACAAATAACTGGATCAGTCAGTTCAAGTTCTCACCTTCTATTTCTCTCTGGCCAAATTAGGTAAGTACCATAAGAATATTTACATTTTAGCAACCACAAACGTTGGCGAGGATGTGGAGAGAAAGGAATTCTCCTGCACTGCTCGTGGGAGTACAAACTGGTCCAACCACTATGGAAAGCTGTGCGGAGATTCCTCAACCTACTAAAGATAGAGCTGCCATATGATCCAGCAATTCCACTCCTAGGTATTTACCCAAAGGACACAAACACCAATTCCAAAGAGCACCTGCACCCCTATGTTTATAGCAGCACTGTTTACAATAGCTAAGCTTTGGAAACAACCCAAATGCCCAAAACTGGATGACTGGATCAAGAAGACATGGTACATATACACCATGGAATATTACTCAGCAATCAAAAAAGATAAACACATGCAATTTGCAGCAACATGGATGGAGCTGGAAGGGATCATGCTCAGCAAAATAAGCCAGAAAGAAAAAGAAAAATACTGGATGGTCTCACTCATAACAGGAATCTAGAAAACCTAAATATGGACCAGGTAAAAGAATAACTATAAGAAAGAAAAAAAAATCAAAATCAACAAATAACTATGAACCAGAGACACTCTTTGTGGGGGGGAAGGAGGGATTGGGATCAAAATTGGGGTTGCAATTGTATGGGGAATATAAAAATAAAAAAAGCAATTAAAAAAAAGAACATTTACATTTAATTAGAGATTGAGAGATTTCAAAAGGGGGATGATAGTAACCTCCCTACCATAAGGACATCTGAGAGAAGCCTTGAGGAAGGGAAGGTGTTGTATACATTCAGTTTTAATAGTAGATTTTTGCCTGGGTTACTAAATATTATGCCCCCTTTAGGATGTTGAATCCTATTGAGAAATGGACAAACAGTGTAACTCAGTCCTTCATTAGTTTTGACAATGTGTAGCAAACATGGGTTCTATTAACAGTCATAAGGTTTTCTGTTTTTTTTTTTTAAAAAGGATATCTAATAATTTTTTTGTTTTTGTTTCTCAGTTTATTGCCCACTACTATCCCTTGTGTCCCCTTGAACCTTCCCCTTCCCCTTTCCCCTTCACCTCAGTGTCCTCATGGTAATTACTAATGTCCTCTGGTTTTTGTAAATATTTTGCTTTTTCAAATCATCACTGTGTAAATGTCCAGTATTTGTTTATTTGGACTTGCTTTACTACACATAATTCACTTGAACTCTCTTCATTTTGCTGAAAATGGCGAATATATTTCTTCCTTATGGTTGAAAAATGTTCCATTGTGTGAATAAGCAACAATTTCCTAACCGAATCATCATGGATGGACATTTAGGCTATTCCCATGTTCTAGCTGTTGTAAATAATGCTGCTATCAACACTATAGAACATGCAGTTTTTGTGTTGGTGTTTTTATATTCTTGGAGAGATGCCCATGAGTGGGGTTGCTAATATTTGCATTTTTAGTCTTTTAACATAAATACAGATTACTTTCCATAAGGTTAAACCATTATCCATTCCCACCAACAGAGTAGTAAGATTTCTCTGTCTCCACATCCATCCCAGCACTTGCTGTTAGAAGTGTTTTTAATATGTGCCATTCTCATGGGTGTGAGATAACTCACTGTGGCTTTAACCAGCACCTGTCATATTGGAAGCAGTGATGAACACTTTTTCATATCTAAAGTGCTTCTGGATAGTCTCTTTGGTGAATCATTTGTTCATATCTGCTGCCCATTTTTTAATTGTTTTATTATCTTTGGATTATGTAAGTTGTCTGCCTATCTTAAATTAACTCTTATCAGTTATATATTGTGTGAATATATTTCCCATTCAATAAAGCATCTTTTTTAATCTTCTTGTGTTTTCTCTTACTGTGTAAAAACTTTTAACTTGGGGTAATCCCAACTGTTTATTTTTATTTTATTTTCCCTTGCCTTACATGGTCAAATTACCAAGCGCATCTTGATGTCAAGGAACATATTGCCAATGTTTTCTTCTATATGTTTTATTATTGTAAATCTTAGATCTAAATCTTCAATCTATTTGGAGACTGTTTTTGTGTATGGAGTTACATAGTGATCCAATTTCATTCTTTTATGTATGGCTTTCCAATTTTCCTAGCACAACTTATTAAAGATACAGTCCTTTCCCCATTGCCTGCTCATGGCTACTGTAGCGTAAATTCTATGCTTTGTGTATGTGGGTTTATTTCTGGACTTACAATTCTATTCCTTGATCCATGTATCTGCTTTTGTGCCAAAACCATATTGTGTTTTATAAAAACAGTGGTTTTATAGCAAGTTTGAAGTTAAGTAATGTTTCTATTTCTCTCCTTCCTCTCTCCCCCAAGATTCCTTTTGCAGTTCATGGTTTTTTGAAATTCCATAAATATTTCAATATATTTTGTTCCATTTCTCTGAAAAATATCCCTGGGATTTCAGTGGTGATTGTGTTAAATTTGTATATCATATTCAGGAGGATAATAATTTTTGATTATATTGATTCTAACAATTCATGAGCATAGGATTTCCTTCCATTTCCTTATGTCACTATATAAGTCCTTTAATAACATCTTGTAGTTCTTACTGTATATGTTATTCACTTCCTTAGGTTAATTCCAAGGAATTTAATTTTTTGAGGCAATTGTAAGTGGATTTATTCTCAGTGTTTTGCTATCTGTTCATTGCTAACATATAAAAAAGCTCTGGATCTTTGCATGTTGATATTATAACTTTGCTATATTCATCTATTATTTATAATAATATTTTTATGGAGTTTTTAGGGTTTTCTGTATATAATATCATATTATTTGTAAATATGATAGTTATTTCTTCTTTTCCAACTCAAATTCTCTTTATTTCCAATTTTCGACTGATAGCTCTGGCTAAAACCTCTAATGCTAAGTTTAACAAAAGTGGCAACAAAGGGCATCCTGTCTTGTTCCCAATCTTAAGAGAAAACTTTCAGTTTTTTACTTTTAAGTATTATAACAATTGTTGGTTTGTGATATCATGGACTTCATAATATTAGAGTAAGTGTCTTCTTTTTTCATTTTCTTAGAGTTTTTATCATAAATGGGTGCTGAATCTTACCAAATTATTTCTCTGCATCTATTGATATTATCATATAATTTCTATCTTTACTTTTGTTGATAAGATGTATTACACTGATTAATGTATATTAAATCATCCTCTATCCTTGGGATAAATGTCACTTGATCTTGATTTATAATCCTTGTGATATGCTGCTGAATTCAATTTGCTAATATTTTGTTAAAGATCTTGCACTGATGTTCATCGGGGATATTGGTCTATTATAATTTTCTTGTGCTCTCTTTATCTGGCTTCAGTATTAGGGTAGTGTTGGCATCATAAAATGTATTAGGAAACATTCCTTCCTAATAACCATGGCACATATTAAAAAACATTCTTTTTAAAATCAATCTGAGCAAGATGGATATTAGTTTTTCTCTAAAGTTTTGATAAAATTCATTTGTAAAACCATCTGATACCTGGCTTTTGTTTTGGGGAATATTTGTTTTTGTTTCAATTTCTAAAAAGTTGGGCTGATTTTGAAATCTATTCAATTATTCTACACCTTTTGACTGATGAATTCAGGCCATATACATAAAAATATGGAACGCTTCACACATATAGGAATCATGCTTGCACAGAAGCCATGCTAATCTTCTTTGTATCATTCCATTTTTAGTGTATGTGTTGCCAAAGTAAGTACCACACAGTAATTTTTTAAGGTAGGGACTTTATTTGATTTCACAGTCTTTGCCTCAGGACAATGGAATAGTACTTATCCATAATAGGGCAAATGTAAGCCTATGATTTATTAATTTATTTTCAAGTATATCTGTAAGATGACACCTTAATATTAACATTGTGGATAATGCTGCAACTTATTATAAGAAAGTCCACATATCTTTCTAAAGCCCTAATCAAAATACAGATGATTTACAATATGTATCATTGGTTCACTGGTTCAAACAACCCATTCGATTGCTTGCCTTACATGGAACTCAGATTCAAGAGGATAATGGGAGCAGCCTTGGAAAGAGAGTATCACTGATCTGTGAATTGTGGGAATTTATAGATATAAGAGGTCAGAGAACTGGCTCTCATAGGACATGGGGACATAGCAACTACGAAACAAAATAAACCTTATGAAGGAAGAAATATAGAGAGCATAAAAATGCAAGCACTAAAAGACCCTTTAAACTATCAAAAAATTCAACTGTGGCTTATATTACTATATGATTGCTAATATTAAGGAAAACTCATTAGGTTATTCTACCAGTAATAATAAAATGTTGCCTATTCAGAATTATAGTCTTCATAATCAAGAGTTGTAAATTTTAGTCTGTAAAAATTTTTAACATTGTCTCTCCGGGATTTTTAAATCTCAGAGGAAAAGTACAGGTCCAAAAAGTAAACATTATAATTAAGTTTATTCTGTTTAGTATAATTAACTCCAATACATAATCTGAAAAGCACTAAGCCCTTGGGGCTACCCCACATAAGGACTGACCTCTGGTACATGGGAACTATGTACTGGCCTCTCTACATAGATACTATGTAAACATTGTTTTAGAGACATGTTCATTAGCTATTTTCAAATATCTTTCTGATTTATTATAGGTTTGAAAGTTCCTCTGTTTTATAAGTAAATATGACCTAATGTCATTTTTGTAAGAAAAAAGGCCATTGAGAGGTGGTTTGGGTTTATGATCCATATTTTCATTATCTGCCATCATGTGACTGGCCTTACTCATCTGGTGGGGAGGGCATCATTTGATCAGTAGAAAATCCTTAGCATTTATCCCTTTTTCTAATTAAACACTGTCTGATAGAGGACATAAAATGGTGGATTTACCCTAGTCTAGGAACCTCTTGGAATTAAGCATGACTTTAATTTTTCTCTTTGACGTTAAGAGTGACAATTCTTAAAACAGAATTTTTATATCCCTTGGACCTGGTAAAGACTCATCAATATTATTCTCTAAGACAATGCCAGGATAGGTATATGGCGGTACAGAAATAATAAAGTTTTCTGAGGGGCATGTCTTTCTCTTTTCAATGGGTACTTTTGTAAGAACAATAATTCAATGTCCTTTTTCTAGTTTGTATTGGTCAATTGCCAAAGTTTAGACAACTCATTGTATATTTCATTTTTTTCTTCATGAGACATGTTTGGAATGAGATACATTAAACTGGCAGAAATTTAAGAACACAACCATATAAATGATAGTCAGTTCTATAAACACCATCAAAACACCATCAAAAGAATATTTTATTTGCTCTTATGATCAAACTTAACAACAGTATGTATCTTTAAACTGAATACAGGTGCAAATCTAGACTTACATAATTTTTCCTCTGAAGATTGTATGGCAAATTATTTTTGTGATAACATAAATAATATCCTTAAATTTCAGAATTCAAACAAATTACACAATTTCAAGCCATTTATCCTTTAATGTCTTTTTTTTTTTTTTTTTTTTGGTGGGACCCTTGCCAGAGGCCGGGGAACGAACCGGCGCTGCAGAGGCTGCAGGCAGCCTCGCAGCCCAGCGCTCAACCGCTGCGCCACCAGGGGAGGCCCTATCATTTAATGTCTTAAGCAGTAAGATAAACATTGAAGAGGAATCATTATCAGTTCAAATTTAATGACCCTCACCAAGAATCATGTTTTCCCATTGTACAGATATTTTATTATTCTATATTTAACTGATCAATGCAAGAAGGAATTAAATCAATATCCAACATTTACACTTATATAACTTTCTCTCCCTTTATGCCTAGACAGGCAGTTTAAGAAATTTGTATCAAGAAATTTAAAAATTATTTTATTGCAATCATGTGTGTAGGACAAGGACATCTTCTAATTCAGTGAGAAGAACAGAGTTAGAGAATATGACCAGAGTGAAATAAACAAACAAACCAGGAGTAGTTTGTTTTTTTTTTTCCAGTCAGCATTATTCTCTGAAGTCACTTATCCAGGAATTATTTGGAATTCTGGAGATTCATTCAAGATGACCAGAAACAACAAGTGTTGGTGATAATGTGGAGAAAAAGGATTCCTCATTCTCTGCTGGTGGAAATATAGACTAGTCCAGATCCTATGGAAAACAGTATGGAAATTTCTCAAAATATTTTTTTTAAAGATTTATTTATTTACTTATACAAGAACGGGGTACAGGCCAGATGTGCGGGAGGGTGAGAGGATTCACCAGAGACAGAACGGGGGACAGAACAGGCAGGCTGATGAAATATACTGCTGAAGGGAGTAGTGGGCGAGACAGGAGAGGTCTGCTGCACCGTGTGGGTAGCTCCCTGGCCAGTAGGAATTGAACCCGCACTGTAGAGGCTGCGGACAGCTTCATAGCGATGTGCTCAACCATCTGCACCACCAGGGGAGGCCCAAATTTCTCAAAATATTTAAAACAAATTATCAAACTCAACAATCCCACTCCATTTGAAACAAGGATGGAACTGGAGAGGATTATGCCAAATAAAGTGAGTCAGAAGAAGAAAGACAAATACTGGATGATTTGGTTGACATGTGAAACATAGAGAAACTAAACAAAAGGTCAGGCAAATGCAAACCAAAACAAACTGTAGAAATCTGACTGCAGAACAGAGGCTACTAGAGTGGTAGGGATAGGGTGGAGAGCAAAATGTGGATGTAGGGGGCCCAATGGACTATGGTAGAGAACTATAGCTTTTGTGAGTGTGGTGTTATAACATACATCTGTGAGCATGTGAAACTTACACCTCTGGGTCATATACAGTGTTTTAAACCAATATTATGTTAATAATAAAGAAAAAAATTTAAAGATATTCAGACAGAAAATAAGCATACAGTATGTGGTCCTCATCATTAATCATTATGGAAAAGCCAGTTCAAGCCAATTCAATCTATAAAAATAAAAATAGTGGCAACACAAATGATAGTAAGAGTGCAGAAAAATTAATCACTTGTGTTACTAGTGGAAATATAGAATGGTGCAGACATGTTAGAAAACAGTTTAGCAGTTTTCTTTAAAAAACTAAACATACAGCTATCAAAGTCCCAGAACTTTTGCTCCTGGGCATTTATCCTAGAGAAATGAAAACTTACATTTTAAAAAAAAGCTGGTACACAGATGTTTATAACAACTAATAGTCAAAAACTAAGAATAGCTCATTGTCTTTCAACAGTTGAATAATTAAACAGTGGTATATCAACATCATGAAATACTATGCAGCAACAAAATGAAACATCCTGCTGATATGTGCAACTTATCATTAATTATTACCAGATAATTCCTAGGTGAGTGACTCTTCAGAGAATTATGTTGGCTGGAAAAAAAACTACTCCTGGAAGTTTATATATGGCATGATTCCATTTATATCACATTTTGAGAATAATAAAATTATAGAAAATACGAGAGCAAATTAGTTGTTACTAGAGTTTAAGAAGGCAGAAGTATATAGGAAGTGAGTATGGCTGAAGGGCAACATGAGGGATCCTTGTAGTGATGGCAATGTTCTGTATCAATGCCAGGATCATGGCTATGATACTGTGTTATCCTTTTGTAAGATCTTATCTTTGGAAAAAACTGTGTAACGATTATATAAAATGTCCCTAATTATTTCTCATAATGCACATGATTCTACAATGATCTTAAATATTTAAGTGAAAAACACTACACTTTGAACAAGAAGGTGTGAAATGCAAATAAATATTCTTACATAAATTCCAACATATTTGTGGGGGCTATATTCACTCTATTTACTTTGGTTTCCTAATGAGGGGGAGATTTATTTATTGCCTAATATTAACCTGTCCTCTACATACATATTTTCCTATCCCTTTCTTGTGTTACACAATCTTCTGTCTCAGGTTGAGAGATATTAGATTATCGGAGTGAACATATAAGGGAATTATAAACATTACAACTGGAAAAGCTATATTTCCAACTTTATAAAGACACAGTATACAATTGACACATAGATTGACAAAAAGCATATCAATTCTGGCAAATTCTTTCCAATCTGTGCAAGCGAATGGGACAGTCACAAGGTTAATAGAAGCAGCAAACTCTTAAATAAAACAAATGTGTGATGAATCTAGTGAGAGAAAGGTAAGCCAGTTTCCTTGAAATTTGCTAATTTTATCATCAGTAGTGAATTTATTCCTTACCATTGGAAAAGTTCTTGTTATTTCCATTCATTTTTGTTGTTTGACTTTGACATGCATATACTTATATGTCCAGATCTTCCCCTATGTCAGCACTGTCTAATGGCTTAGATTGACAGAGCATTTTGCCCCCATTTCTGTCATTTATTTCCTTTTTCATTCTCTTTTTCAATTCACAAAGCATGGTGCCATTTACATTACAGGGTGTTCTTACCTGCATTCCCTCCCCAGATAGAAATCTAATAGGCTGGGTTTTCATTTCTCTAGCAAACAATATGTGGAAACTTTGTGTTCTGTATACATTAATTCTTCAGTTATTTAAAAGAGGGGCTTGTGTAATAGCCAAAGGTGAAAAAAGTCATTGCATTAGCTACAAATCCACGTTACAAAAATGAACTGTGAAAATTTTTTTTTCTTTTTTAATATATTTTTTACATCATTTTTCATTTTTGCACAATGTATGCATTTTCATCTTGGTTATAGTTCCCATATAATTCCCACACCCCTTATTTTGACCCTAATGCCTCCTCCCCTGGCCCCCCATA